TTTTGCAAAACCAGAATGGACCAACTAACCCCCCAAAATGTCACCAAGTGCTTGAAGGTAAGTGAACCTGCCAATAAAAGTTGCTCACTAAGTGCTGAACTTTCACTGAGACACATTTGTTAGATGCCATAAAAAGACCAAGACCTGCAACTTGTGACACCTGCAGAAAACTATCTCAGATAATAGTCATATCTATTTCAGTGACATCTGGGGTCAGGCCTATGTTCTCACATTTCTATTATTTAAGCGTGAGCCTCATCATGAAGAATCAACCTTTATTTTAAGGTTATAGAAGCATTTTCTATTTGTCAAACACTGCAGGAGCCCTGCTGATCAATTGCAATACAACAATCAACTCCCGACATGCCTTCGGTGCATGGCAATGCCAGAAATCCACAAAGGCAGGCTGCACGAACTGCTAGGCAGCAAATTGAATGCAATACACTATCATTTTCCCAAATACCTTCTCAAAATCAAAACGTAAAGTACACACTTCAGGTTCAGCACCTCCGATGGTTCCTACAGCAAACCACCGAACCACAAAGGTGAGAAGAGACATTTGCCTTGCCACAGGCTTCCTCTGCTGCACCCTATCTATTTTGATGGCCAGTTTTCTCCTTCCCTGACAGCTATGGTATGACTTCACGCTGCAGCACTGGTAGGACAGGGGCAGAAGACAGAATGGAGGAGCCAAGGCAATTTGCTTGCTTCATTTTAAGAACGCAGATGCTTCCATTTCTCAGAAGGCAGATGCTGATTTGTTGAGACCAACTCTTCTCGCAAAAACACACTGGCTTTGACTGAACTTTTCACGGATGCTATTTCCCAGGGTCAAGTCATAAGTTCCAGCCAAAGTCAGAGATCAATTTGAAGAGAGCTGAGACCAGAGGTTTCCGTTTCCCACGAGGGCTCTCTAACCACTGAACCAATCTCTTTCCCCAGTGCGAATAAAAGCAAAATACCTGTAAAAGGAGAGATCATGACCACTTGCCCAGGAAGAACATGTCATGCAGGGGATGCATTTGATGGACAGGAGCCCCAGGTGCTCATTTGCTCTTGATTTATGCACAGCGGGGAGTCAGATCTCTGCTCCTTGAATTTGTTTGTTTGCCTTTTTTTTTTTTTCCGTTTTCCTTCTTGAGTAGCAACTTTTAATTTCATTCTACTCCCCAGCAAACTTTGAAGACCTTTGGTTATCCAAACCGGACTGGGTGGTTGGGAGAGTGGCTCAAAAACCCTGGCAAATTTGGTTTTGTTACTTTCTGGCTCTGGCCTTGATGGAGGCCTCTCGTGTACAGGGCAGGAGATTGCAAACTACAACAAGCACTTTTGCTTATGACTCCACTTTCCATATTACAAAACGTAGTTACAGCCTCACTACAGAAACAGCAGGCGTCTTGGCACCCAATGAGTAATGCAATACCTTGAGATGATGCAGTAAATCTCAGTCTAGGGCTCAGTTTCAATCTAAGCTGTCACAGGTTTAAGACAACAGAAAAAAAAAAAAATCAGCATTTCTACATTAGCCTTGCCGTACGTCATCACTGCAGGCTGCGATGTGCAAAATTCTGAGTAGATTTTATTCAAAGGTAATACCGAGTGAAAGGGTCAAGTGCCTAAAATTGCAATTCACAAGGGTGGTCACAGCCTACCCATTTATCTGCATGACCTTTTTGACCATGGAGACAATAGACACTTGCTTAGGAAAAGTGTTCGGTTTAGACCATATTGATCATACAATTTAAATGTTCACCACATAGACGTTATAGTACATGAATTATTTATATAAAACACTGACTTGTTGTTACTGCAATATTTACTTTTAATATCAATATCAGTTCAGTGCATGTATCTATTGAATACTTAAACTTCCCTAAAAATATTAATTTCTTTCTCTGTCAATCATAATGCTTTGTGTTAGTTAGCTATTTTGGTTTTAATCTTTAATAGACTGAAAATGACAGCCCTGCTTAGCAAGACAGTCCATATTAACAAGAAGTGTCAGAAATTCTCTTTATAGTCTTTGTCTTGCACTGAGATCTTTTAGCGCAGAAGCTGTACCTGTAAAAACGTGGATTACGATGCAATATCAGAGATGTAATTCCATACCAGTTTCTTACAGAAGTAATAAAACCATTTGATGTAGATTAATTTTAAAAAATGAACATCATAAAACCAGGCTGTTCTAAACCTGCCACAATTTTTGAAGGAGAAGTCAGAACAACAGTCTTAAAAAAAAATTGAAAATGCAATAGCACAAGTATTTTTGCCTATGATCTCCTGTTGATACCACCAAATCCTTGTAACTTATATTTTTAAAAGAGCAAACAATGCGTGCACTCAAGTGTTTCAAAGAAGCAAAGTATTAGTCTTCCAAATGTATTTTTTCTAATATTCAGGTGCTTTGTTGACTTACTCACTAACACTTACTGCACTGCACTGCTTCCTACATAAAAAACCCGAGCAGCACATTTCTGTAAAACTCGTGAATGTTATTCATATGCACTACATAATGTTAAGAAAAAGACATGAAATCCTACTGAATAATTTAATAAAAATCATACCAAGTACCCAATCTTCCGATTCCATTACACACAAGTATAGGAATTGTTACATTAGATTTATACCAAAATACTGGCAGAAGCAGAAATAACCCTTAAAACACTCCTAAACTCTTTCTCACCAACAGTAAAGCCATTTTTTCCCTGTGTTCAGGGCTTCCTAAGATTATCCAACAGAGGGCTCCCAGTAGCTATTAAAAAGCTTAACTGAGAGCCAAATATACAAACTCTAACCTATACATACAAATCAGCATACTGTCATTTTAATAACCTGTTCTGTATGCATATACATACACATCTACACCCACTTCAGAAATTTGTAAAAGCATACTGTAAAACCACCCAGGTAGTGCCTTGTCATAATTTGTATGCTGCTAAAGTACTCTAGCTCAAGATTTTTTCCAAAACACTATTTTTAACTGTGGAAAATGAGTGTATTTTTAAATCATCTTTACACAAATGAAATTACATTTTCTTACAAATTCTTTACTCTCACTTGAGAAAAATACTAAGACAATCGTGTGGAACAAAGTTTGATGGCTACGTGAGTATCAGCCAGTGGGAGAGGCAAGGGCAGAGACTGAAGCCTGTGCACACGAGCACTTACTTGCTAAAGCCAATCTGCACCTGACAAACTTCATCTCATAAAGACAAAGATGCAATTGGACCGTTTCAGCAAAAGGATATTTCAAACTAGGTTAAACCTTGTTCTCTTTGTTGAGATGGTTACCAAGTGGGGTTGCAGTATAGTAGTTTTGAAACACTTAAGTGATCTATGTACTTGGTAGATTACGCTTTTCTGATATTCAGATATCTGAGGCTAATAAAACCCAAACATTTTTTAAGATTTTGCCAAAACAGCAGGAAATTTGAGTTTGCGAAGAGTCTTGGTACGTGCTCTGGGGGTTTAGGAAGGACTTCAGCCATCCACTAAACTGCCCTCAGAGACTGTAAGTAAAAGGGTCCTATATATACCTCCTTCACCCTGAGGTCTCCCAATATCCTATTCCCCGCACCATTTAAAGGCCTTAATTTTAAATACAGGACATCATAATGCATTGCGGCTTATCTTCTCTCAGTAACATATGCTGAGATTTCCTGCAGGCTACGCACTTTTTTTGAAAACTTAATTGAATGCCACAGCCAATACAGTATCATGTTGGTGTGTCCTGCCTGATCAAAAAAAACCTCACAGCATATTATCTACTCAAACACAACGTGATCATAAGTCAAAGCTACTGTCCTGCAATAAATTAAAGTTAGTATTTGATGGGTTTAGTAAGCTATTCACCACAGATGAAGATAATACATAAACTATTGTACAAAAAGCTTTTAAAAAAGTTTTTACAGTATTAAAAAGAAATCACCTATCTGTAATTCAGTAAGTTCATTCTGCAGCACCTGCAGATGTGCCCAGAACATTAACCAACAAGGCATATTTTTTTACTTCTGAGATTCAATTTGTTTTCCATAATAGCTTTTGAGCTTATCTATGATAATACTAATTTGCTTTCCTCCACACCTTTACATTCAACAGTGAAAATACATGCCTGCACCCTTTTTGTATGTGCTACAAAAGTAATCCAAGACATATCCTCCACTGAATGTCAGTGATTAACTCCTCCAAAACTAGTTCTGCACTTTTATAAATGCAGGCTTTTTAACCAAAGTCTTAGGAGGTGAAGTACAAAAGCTATATTCTGCTATGTTACACACCACACAATTAGGTTTGTCTTTCAACTTATAGCAATGTATTTGGTGCTTTCATTCACCCTGTTTTTACCTGCAGTGATACTGCAAAGCATGTGGATATGTAATGCAAGTAGAGGAAAATTTATGGTATTTGCAACTGTATTATGGCAATGCTAAACTCTAAGCAAAATCTTTTTAGAAATTTTTGGCACAATACAGAACTGGAAGCACCCTGGCCTAACCTGAACTGAGATGAGTTTGATCTCCTCACATGTTCAAAAGTCTACTTTCAGGCCGGGGCGTCTGGGTGCACATAAGCATTTGGAAGATCTAATCCATATTGCAATTTGATGCAATTCTTTAAAAGCAGCCAACACACTCTTGACCCTCCACCCCACCATCAGAGCTGAGGTTTGGATCTGAGGTTCAAGAGCAAACTCAGATGCCAATTTTTGCAACTCCCCCTGTACTTAGAATCCAGCCATTTCTTAAACCAGGTGCTTTTGGCACAGAAGTATTTGAAAACAATCTCTCTTTTCCCTTTCAACTGGAGATGCAGGTAAACAGGACCTTTGGAAGAAATCAGACTAGTCTGGCATGCAAAATTACATGCTATTTTAAAGATTTAGACTTTCATCATTATGCAGCCATCATTTTACTAATGAAGTCCAAGAGTACACACAATGCATGTATGGAAATATCAGTAGGGTAACAAAAATATCAAACGAACTCTAACCCTTTACTTACCACAAGTCTCCGTCTTCAATAGTCTTATCATTTGGGGCTCCAGCATGGCCGTAGTGCAAAACAGATGAGTTCTCCCCACTGATAGGGAAAAAGAAAATTCAGCACAATTAATGGAAGGAGAAACAGTAACACACAACATGAGAAGGAACACTGTAAACATGTGGCACTGTAAACATCAGTGTATTCATATATTAAGCACAAAATTTTGCAGTCTGTGAGAACTGCCATAGGCCCTGCCCTGGTGTGGGCTGTAATTCAGGAATGGGTATGGAACGGGCATTTTGCTATTCTGGCTGCAAGATACGACCTTTCAGCAGAAGGAACTTGGCATAGTTCATATAAATATTTCCCACGTCCATGACAGTGTCAACGAAGCAATTATGCAAGAGTAATTTTTCAACCTATACCCATTTATTACCTTCTGGATTTTTTTTAATTACTAAGTGATATGTTTCCCTATTTGAGGTTAAACATTCTGAAGCATAAAAAATTAACTTCCACTGGAGTAAAATCTGACATGTTTGAAATGTTCTAGGAGTCACTGGGACTGGAAAAATTCAGCTGTCCAAGTAAACAGCTCCAGTGCACCTCTGGCACGGCTACGCGTGATCTCTGCTGGAGTGGATACACTGCACGCTGCTCGGGGACCACTCGCAGCATACAATATCAGCAGCAATAACAGGCATGAGAACTGTCACTCTATTCTTACCTCTTATTAAAAATCACATTACAAAGAAAAGATTTTTATTCCTGGAAACCTTTCAGACTAAACTGCTGATTCACAGGAATAAAACATCTCCAGAGAAGGATGGACCCTTGTTCTGCGCTTCTGAAGCTCCACGATCCATTTGGTGACCTATATTTGGCCTTGGCATCCTCTCTTGTCTACTGATACTCCCCCAGATCTATCAAACGTCAGTTAAAAGACTGGTAAAGATCTCGAACTCTACCTATTTTTCTTTTACTATTCTCCTCAGATAGATGCTCTCTCTCTTTTTCTCTTGAAAAAGCTAGAAGAATTGTATCATATCTAAAAATACACGTGTTGGGACAGGGTTACTGTGGCATCTCTCTGACCCCTCCAGCTGTATCTCACCTTTCACTGAAACTGTATTGGTCATCCCGCTGAAATTTGATTCTTTCAAGTTGTGATGGTGGAACAGCTTCGTATCTTAGGTGAAAGGAATCCAAGGCTCAATTTCAATGAATCTTTTGTTGTATCTGGAGTAAATGTGCCATCTGACATACTTTTCATATTAGACTCCTGATACGTGCAATCACAAAACCAGTAAACAGGCACTGTATCCAAAACGAGATTACCTTCAAGATACATTAAGCACTTGTGATCAATTAGATATCTAACAGATCATTGGTCATTCAGATATATTAACTCCATGAGGAATGATTAGGGAGGAGAAAGTAGATGCTGCCTTATATTTCTGAAGGCTCTCAACCTAAAGGGCTGGATCATGTTAATATTTTGAAAGCAGTAAGTTTCTATTGTTAATTTTTTTTTGCATATAAGGATCGCTATGTAATAAGGTAGTGAAGGACAATGTTTCAGAATCATGGGAATGATTTTCTGATACGAAGCGTATTTCTTAAAATAATACACGCTCCAAAGGGAAAAATTACAGTTGTTAAATCAAGAGTTTAAAAACCCCACAGAATTAAGGCTGCAACAGATTTGTTTTGCGATGCTGGCCCAATGGCTTAAGCACAGTTTTACAACCGGCTACTAGCTGGCTGCTTTTTACTTCCTGGACACCTGACTTGGGACCCTACGCTGTTGTGCAGATAACTAAAAATGGCCCCGTAAAGCTTGGACACAAGATGAAGACAGACGTGAGCTTCCTTTAGAGATGTCCTGTCTCCTAGGCACTGGTGGAATAGTTCTTTCTGGCCACAATTCCAGCTTTCCACACCAGGACACTTTCAAACTTAGCTTGCTCTGTCTGAAAAAAAAGATCTGTAACAGGGCAATGGACTGCAATCAAAAGAAAAGGGCCTTCTGTGCCAGGTGACGTGTATGGCGGGAACCATGTTTCCAGTCTCAGCCGTCTCCTTTCACGTGCCGGTGACAGCAGCAGAGACAGCTCCTACCTCTGCGCTGGACTATCAGCCTGACGAGAGGAGGCAGCATCATTTCCTGCCTGGAGAACTGTCTCCCGGGTGGAGGGCTGCGATTCTGGGGAATCGCACTTGGAAACAACTGGAATGACCTTGCTGCTATGCACGACACTGAACCCACATGCTTGGTGTTTAAGGAAAAACACAAAAACAGTAAAAAACCCCAACACCTGGCATGCACACACACGCTCACACACGCTCCACAGCAGTTTGTCAGGATTTTAGCTGCAGATACTATTCCTTACCTCCCTCTAAAAATGGGGATAAAGCAGGAGAAGCAAATAGCACATGCATATATTTATGATCAACTTCTAAAAAATTATCATGAAGCTTAAGGGCATGACTCCATGCTAATGTATTTGCAGATAGCTTGTTTACTTATCATCATATGCTGGCACCCTCAGTGTCATATACCATACCAGCTGCATAAACAAGTCATATATTCAAATATGAGCACTGCACAAATGCTTTCAACAATAGACATTGCAAATACAAAGATGGGGGATTTCTTTTGCACATTTTAATGTAAAGGTTTTAGTTTGCAAAATATTTCTGGAAGGTTCGGCACCAACTGTTATGGAAGATGCATGAAAAATCTGTTTTTCAGCACCGTTAGTGAAGTGTTAAGCAGCACACAATCTTTCTTGGCATCTGAGACTCCTTATCTATCACACACATCTCGGCTCTGTCGCGTAACTGGGATCGTACCACAGAGAGCTGAAGACCAGATATGCACACCATATGCATTTCAGGTTTTTTGTCTGTTTGAAGTGATTGGGGTGAGGAGGTCTGCTTACTTGGGACTGGCTCTGGGCAGGTCCCCTGGGATGAACACCCATTAGCAACTGAGGCACAGCAGACCTGCTCCTGAAAGCTCTCCCAGCTGTTTTTCACCCAAAAGAAATCCAGCACGTGCACTCCAGGATCGGTCCATGGCTCTGAGCAAAGCCCCGCAGCTGGGGATGAGTGGGAGATCTTGCTTCAGAAATGCACTACTGACCCAAATTAAAACACTGATGTGGACACACCTCCAGCCTGTTCCTGCCACGAGGTGCAAGTCCAATCTTCCTCACAGGAAGCGTCTTTACCGCTGTCCCGAGATGAAGGCAGGAAAGATGCTTTAGGAGCAATGCTACAGAAGTGATGTGTACCCACAAGGTAAATGCTACAGCTCACCAGAAATTGTTCATAATGATTCAGTTAGACTTTCAAGGTGGCTTCAAAACAATTTAAACAAAACCCCCAGCCACTGGCAAAGCAAATGAGCCTTCCTGTAGAAGCTATTTCTTTTCTTCCCAAGGAGCAACAGTTGAAAGGTCTGGCATTAGAACACCAAAGTCGGGGTTTAAAATGAAGCGCTGCGGGGAGGTGCGGATCACTGGCAGCTCCGCTGCCTTCCTGGAGGTCAGCACCTCTGAAAACCACCATACGTGGGGATGCCGATGTCTGCCTTCAGGCAGCCAACCTGAAAAATTCTCCAAGAGATTTCTGCGTATCTATTTTTATTCCTTTAATAATTTGCCTCTAACTGGTGCCAAAGACATGTTTGTTACAGAAAGAATTGCGTGAAGCAGCGGAAAAGCTGCAAATTAACACCACTGAGAATGCAAATAGTAGGAAGAGATTCAGATTACTAGGAAAGGAAAAAAAGCCCCCAAAACACATTTTAGATCAGAAAACACCCTGAAAACAAATAATTAGAAGAAAGAGAAAAAGGAGGAATGTCAGCAATATTTTAAGAACAGGACTAAGCTGAGCATCAAGCATTACAAAAAGTGCAGCTATTAGCTCTGCATTAAGAACATCTAAAGAAAAAACAATAGACCATATAGAAAAACCAATAGCAAACTATTTCCATCATGATTTAAATAATAAAATCAATCCAGAAGGAAGCACAAACAGCCTTCTCTCCACTTTTTCATCTAAGAGATGAAATCTTAAAAAGTTGTATTGAAAGGAAAGAAAGAAAAACAGATTGAATAAGTATCCTAATCTAATCCAAACAGCTTTAGTTATGGTGAATCTCAGATAGAGGAAGGCATTTTAATGCACTATATTATTCTTAATCACTGGTATCATCTGCTGAGAGCTGTCATCTGCCTGGAGACGTCTGTCAAGAAGATTTGAACCTAAGTCTAAGATGCCGCAGTATCAAGTAGCAGCTGACCATGGCTTCTGGGGCGGTTGCAGAGATACTGATGCCTCCACCTAACTCCAGTTGGAAACTCTGCGCCTGGTTACCAGTGGATGCCATCCATCGTAGGGTCACCAGGACGCACTGTGCATGTAACTTAACCTTTGTTTTCCCCTTTGTAAAAATGGTTACTTGGTACACTAAGACACTGCAATGAATAATTCATTAGCATTTGAACACTACTCGGAAGTCAACACCTTGTAGATTACTTCTAAATATATCCAAGTACATTTATCAAATACTACCATTCTCATCTAATTGCACTTACGTGATGTCTGTTTGTGCTTCAAACCACTTACAAGCTGACAGTGTTTGAAAGCATCTCTAACTACAGGACTAACCTTGCTATGTGACAACTTGTAATACTAATATATGTGTGTTATATGTGTGTTATTATTCTCAACTGATTGGACAGTGAATACATGCAAGTGAATACATAAAGCATATTTGGTCACACCAAATATTCATCTACCATCTCCTAAAGAGTGTAACACTGGACAGGGACAGCAACAAATGCATGCACTTGACGTGTGCCAACAGATTTATTTCTGTACTGAAACATAGTATTGATTACTCTTGAATTCCAGCTTAGTGAACACCTTTTCTGATATCGGAGTAACAAACTTGGTTTTTATTTAAAAGCATGATTCCCTTCTACGGAAATTATTACCAGGCCTGTAATCTAAGAAGGAAATATCCTGTCAAAATATCACAGTTTTAAGTGTCAGGAAAACAACAAAACTCAGCATGAATAGAATAAAACATAACTATTCAAAAATCCTAATTGCAAAAGCTATTTTTAATCATAAATGTAGTTAAGTGTAATATTTACAATGCATGACATTTTCATGGTAATAAAAAATGGCTATTATTTTTGGCATTATTATGTTAATTGAATTCATCAAATAGATCTACTTACATTCATTTTATTAGGACCTAGCTTAAAACTGTTAATATTATTCATTTTTACTTCATCACTCATAGTCAGAATACAGTCATTTACGGACAAAGGCCTTTGTATTCTATCTTATGTAATTTTTTTTTTTAAATCAAGTTTGTCTGCACTTTTAATTGTAGTGGTAGGATACAATGCCAGCTCCCAACTACAACAGTGAGTCACAATGTTGTTAGGATCTTGCATTTCAAGGGCAGCCCTTCTCCATGTATTAAATCCTCCAACAGTTCAGAGGCAGCTCAAACACCACTCCCATGCCCTGCTAAAGACCTCCAGCGTGGTGGGATGGGACACCCAGGAAGCTCCTGTCATCACCCATTTCTGAACTACTGTTGGGGCTTTCCTCCTCCTGGGTTCCCTGAGTCATGTAACACAAGTCCTGGGTTCTTCAGCCCTGTGGGGAGTTTAGTCTGTCCCCACGGGGTCACAAGGACCCACTACACAAGCATTCGGTAAACGTTTCTATAGGTTTAGCAAAGCCATTTATGTTGTCTAGCACCCAAACCAGATCCTGCAGCATGGGTTCTGATTTACTGTAAGTGAATGTGAAGTCTGTATGGCTGTGAAAAACCATATACATACCATCACAGCCTGTGACAATACCATAGAGATGGAGTCTCATTTCAATGGGATGTTAATTCTCAAGTTATACGATGGTACTTAGAACAGGAAACTTTTCAGACAATTTAGATGCACAATTTGCCATAAAACTGCTCATGCTTCTACTGCAATTTTGCATATAAATTGGAAAACTGCATTTACAAATAAGCAATTGAGTAAACAGCACAAAGAAACAACGATGCTAATTGTCCTTATTACCTTCAAAGCCATATAATACTGTTGTCATTAACGTAAAAATTATTTTTTTATGTGCATGTGACTTCAGTGTAGGGCAAATGTTTGTGAGTAGCAGCAGATCTAGAAGTGGAACATATATACCAACATACATGCCTCATCTAACTGTCATATATCTCTGATTAGATTAATTCCACTGACTAAATAAGATTAATCTCTGCACAAAGCACACAGCTGTTCTTCAACACGTATCCTACACTATTCTCTGCAAATTAAAAACGTGCATTTCTACAACTGCAGGGAGAACTTTTATAATACTTTGCCAAATACAATACCTTCAACACTAGCTGCTCAGCAAGAAAAAGAGAGCGCAAAAAATTTCCAAATTCCAAAAAGATTAGTTTAATCGCATCCTAACCTTTGAGGCAAAGAATTTTGAGAATGATATGAAATATTTAAGGTGTACTTCAAAGAAAGTATTTTTGAGCAACAGAGAATAGTTCTAAAGCCCTTCTCCATAACACTATTTAATAAAAAAGCCAATTGCAGCACAGATGTGAGCATAAACACAATCTTGGCAGTAGCAGCAGTCATTGGGGAATCTCTCGAGTGTAGCAGAATCTGTAACCAAGTTATATCTTTAAGACACAGCGCTAGCCACCTTTCTTTGGCTTTTTCAGAGAAAACAGTTCAAAACTCACCCTGGTGGCACTTGCAAACACATCATGTGTCTAAAAGGAACAATTTTACAAATATCCAGTGGGAAACTGACCATAAAGACTGCAACAGTTCAGTATAAACCATCGACTTACCTGCCACAGATGCAAGTGTAGGAAGTGTGGCGCATGCCACCTTGCGCATAGCAGTAGTGCTGGAACAGGCTGCAAAGAAAGAAAAGTGGTAATTAATAATATATTCAAAACCAACACAAGACAGGGAGGAAAGCAAGTCTTGCTTGAGTACAACTATGTTGGTGCAAATCCCTGGCTCCCCGACAAGGCACTCTGCCCATTTCTGCTCAGCTGAGCACTCAAATTCAGCCACATTCACAGCTCAGCAGTCCTGCGGAGCATCACGCGATTTCCACAAAGCCCATTAAACAACTCTGCAGCAGAGAAGAGGGGCTCGAGTGCAGCTTGGTAACTTCAAATGGCAAATTACTTTCCTTAACAACTCAACATGGAAAGCAAATTATTGTTGGCAAAAGGTAGTTCATCTGACCATAGAACGACTAGGATGGTAACAGTTAAATGCTGAAGCTGGCCAAACTCTCCGAAGTGGAGTTGAGAAAACCACTTCTTGCTGCATTTCAGGTACACAATCACATCCATGATCCTTATTTTCAACCCTGCTGCCTTCAGTCTATGGCGTGTAGATTCAGCAAAAGTGAAGTCCAACCAACCCTTCACATGGAAGGAGCTCGCCAGACGGGGCAAAGCTCTTCTTCAAAATAATTTCAGCAGAAGCTCTCTCATTTTTACCATCTCACTGATACCCTCTGCTGAAAGCTGAACTAAATATCCCTATGTATGCGTGAAGCCTGAATCGCATCTGACAATGCTATACACCCTCCTCTCCAGACAAGCCAGCAGAGCTCTTCAATTAGGTCAAGCCAGGTACTTTCTGCTAGCATCACGGTCCATGCTGGAATGGATGATCTCATGTTTTCTTGTCTGTAGCACAACAGACACAGAGAAAACATAAGATTATTAAATTTCAGATTATGGTACCTAAATACCTTCTTCCCCTGCCCAAACATGGAAAAAAAAATTAACACAGACTCAATCCCAACAGCAAAGAGATAATGTGATAGCATTAGGCTGAGCTCTCAGCAACCTATAGAGAATATTACAACACAACATAGTTTGCTTTTGTGTGTGTGAGGGATAGGGAAGGGAAGGGAGAGCAGCCCTGTGCTCTCCAACAGTACTCCTCTTGCAATGCCGGCCTGCTGGAGGAGCTGTTTGGCCTTAAAAGCATTAAAACATTTTCGTCTTCACTGCCAAAGTCCCCTTCACATGAGGGCAGATGTGCCCAAAGCACAATTAATATAGGATTAGGTGCTTTAAGAGCTAAGCACATATCATGGATCCTTTTACTCTTTTTGAAATATGCTCTAATTACAATTCAATTCCCTTTAATACTGAATGAATTTCAAAAACTCATTTGTTGTAATACTGAAATCATTTCATTAACACAGAGTGATAATGGTGCTATTCAAAGAATAGAGATGTTGTGATTTCATCCTTCTGCAGCAGCAATCCACAGAACACAATTCAAATTCTTTGAAGGCTATTAAAGACATTACATGCTTGTAAATCCAAACCAGATTTTAAAATTACACAAAATGACAGTATTTAAAGAGAAACAGAACAAAACATACAAATTAATCACACAAGGAAAAACAAAAGCCTACATTTAGAGACTTAGCAGGGAGACCCAGTTTACAAGATCTCTTTTCTGCTCAAAATGCTGTGGTTTTCCAAGGTAGAAATACTAATTTTGTATTGCCCCAGAAACCAGTAATGGCAAAGAGTAGGTCAAATGACAGAGAAGCTAAGGAGAAACTCGGACATGGTGAGGGCACAGCAGAGATATCACTAAATTGAGCTGATAAAATTTATCACCTAAACTGTCATTTGCTCTGACGCAGACATTTTTTCACTGAATGGACATTTCACATGGAAACAAAGTTACAGATCTGCTCTTCCCTAGCATGTTTGCAAGCAAGGTTTACTCTGCAACACTATGGACAAACATTGTGCACAATAACATGTTATACTTACATATGCATAGTTACATTTTAGGAAGCAACTTTTAGTGTATTTTATAGACCTTTCACCTTAAATCATTGAAGAAACTATCTCCTCTAGACAGCAACTTTCAGTACATTATAAAGAGCTTTAAAAATGAAATAATGAACGTTGTAAACATCTTTCCATCATCAGTGATGCAGGGATAGCAGGTTCATTTTTCCATGTGACAACTGATCACATATTCATGGTTGCAATTTATATGAAACTGTGCAGCGACAGGACGAGAGGAAATGGCCTCAAGTTGCGCCAAGGGAGGTTTAGACTGGACATTTGGAAAAACTTCTTTACTGAAAGAGTGGTCAGGCCTTGGAACAGGCTGCCCAGGGAAGTGGTGGAGTCACCATCCCTGGAGGTATTTAAAAGACGTGTAGATGAGGCGCTTAGGGACATGGTTTAGTGGGCATGGTGGTGTTGGGTTGACGGTTGGACTCGATGATCTTAGAGGTTTTTTCCAACCTTAATGATTCTATGATTCTATGATTCTAATAGTATTCACCTTTTGCAGTATTCCCTGATTAGCAGTAAAAAGTGGTAAATAAATTAAGACATGCTTCGTATAATCCAAGTGTTGTCTGAACTTTGTTTCTGTTTTATAAAAAAGGAACCTGATTGTTTCATCAAACATTGTGGACTTTCTTTTAAGAGTAAGTAAGAAGTGGTTGTTTATGTGACTGAGCTGAAGATAGTATAACTTTGCCAGGTAACGATTTTTCCGCTAGTAAAACTACTCACGTCACTTTTTTGAATTTACTTTTTCGGGCTATGACTCACTAGAAACATGTTCATGCAGTTGGGAAAAAAATCCAACATTTCTATCAGAGACACTTAGATAAGTGAAGGATTGCATATCCCTTTCATGGCAAATACTGGCTTTTCAAAGCTGAAAGATGTATATATAGAATTAGAGAAGCTGCCAGTACTTCGCAGTTAAAACCCTGGTTCCTTCCACTGAAGTTAATGCAAATTTTGCCACTAGACTTCTTCACACCAGGATTTCACTGTCTACACACTGCAAGAATCTTTATCCAAAAGTGCGACACAAAAGTATAAAGTCTGAAATAGTTGGATGGAATAACATTTAATCTGGCACTCCACATATATTGCAAATATCGCATCTTGAACTTTTCCTGGTCTTTTTGCTTGGAGGATATGTGTGTTTAGGCAGTTTTATGTTAGTGCTCAATGCTTTGCCATGAGCTTTTAATGCAACCAACACAGATACAAAAGTTAAGCATCTCTTTCTCTTCTCCGTCTTTCATGGGTTTCAAAGCTTCCTGTCATGTTTTATGCAGTATTTCCCTGGAGAGTGTATGTATTACTTCTCATGCACGTATACTACCTTGGTGGTGTATACAGATAAGCCATTGGTGTATTTGCATGTCAGATGTTACCTTTTAAATGCATACAGCTTTGTTTGAGCTGGCATGGGTTTTGCATTGCTTTTGAAACAACTTTTTTTTTTTTTTTTTTTTTTAAATTTAAATGTAGAGGTACATCCTGGGTTTGGTGCTTTTTCTTTTTGCCAAAAACATCAGCTTCTTTAACTGATTGACAATATGTGGAGATTGAAGGTAGTTTTAAAAACCTCACTCTTTCTTCCATTGACTTAAAAAAGAGCAAGTATTAGCTGCCATCAACTCAAGTAAATCTGACATGAGTGCACTTGCCCCCACCCTTGCAAATTTGCTGAGGCACAAGATAGTGTTATCCCCACTGCTCTGCCAATTCTTGACTACCTTATTGACTATACTGACTTGAGAGAGAAGAAAACTCCGCTTTCAGAAATAATGGGTTCTTCATCATTAGAAATAACAGAAAAAGTATATACTTCCTATTTCTGAGATCTTATGGAGTATTGCATACATCCAAACAAAACTCCAGAATGCTTAAAAAGCTTCAACTTCAAAACAGCCTAAAAAGCCATTAAAGGAAAACCTGCTATGGATAGTCTTTCTGACAAAAGAAGTGGTAAGAATCACTCTGACAATGATGCTTGTGTCTTATGATCATCTTTGGTCCAGTTTCTACTGCTATCTAAAGCACACTGACAATTACAATCAGATCTGTGCTATGAATGTAAATTGAATCAAATAAAGCAGTTTAATACCAACAGTTTTCCTAACTTAAGTGGATTTACGGAATAAAGGCACTTAAAGCAGGAGGGATAGAAACTATCTGTAATGACTTCCCTCACACTTTTTGCTTAATTTCAGATCTTCCTCATCACTAGCATACAACATATCCATACACACTCAGCAGAATGTGATTTTTATTTCCCAAAAGTAGTAAACAAGTAATCTCTAATTTTAATTCTTGTCATCAGCTTTTCTTGAGTTATAAGAAATATTTGTAAGAAAACCACATTTTGTATTTCTCAGCTATTCACTCCCGAAACCAAGACACTTGTAAATCAAAAAGGTTCAATTTCTAAATAAAAATCCAATTGAGTATTTTGGCCTATCTCCTACAAAACAGGTAAAAACTGTAATTACAGAAAATGCAGTAAGTGTGGAGAAAAGAAAGATAGAGAGGGAAGAAAAAGTGGCAAGAATATCTGACAAAAAAACCAATTAAAAACTTAAGCCAAGTTTCTATAACACTGCCCAATACATTCCTCAGTGGCATCTTCTGATGGCCCCTCTGCCCCAGTCCCACATCCTTAGTAACTACAACGAAGTGCTGCAGAACAAGACGTGCACATCACTTTGGGATGGAGGAACAATCACTCATTCCAAGGTTTCTGATGAAGGAGGACCAAAACCACTGAATAACCCTGTTCATTATTGCCAGATACTGAAGCCACGTCAAGAACACCTGCTGGATACTGGTAGTTCAGGAACCAGATTTTTAGACTGTGTATTAGAGAGCTGTGCTGCTAGAAACGCAACTTGCCTTGTGAAGCATACAATGTACGGAAGAGTCAAGGACACTCATGGGTCAATATCTCATTAAGGTATTTATATTGAAAATATATTTATATAAAAAAATTTTCACACTGGATCACTCACTGGTTTGAGGATGTTTCAGATCCACAATAATTTCCTCAGTGCACCTTTGAGAAAGTT